TAAACCCAAAACCCTAAACCCCTGGGAGCATGCAAAGGTGAGGGGCATCCCCGCGCAGGCCAAGCTGCATCTAGCGCCCCTCCCAAACTGCACCTAGACCTCCTCAGGGTTTAGGGGTTAAGGGATTTGGGTTTAGGGTTTTGGGTTTTGGGTTTAGGGCTTAGGGTTTAGGGTTTAGGGGTTAGGGATTTGGGTTTAGGGTTTTGAGTTTTGGGGTTTGGGGTTAGGGTTGAGGGTTTTGGGTTTATAGGGTTTTGGGTTTGGGGTTTTGGGGGTTTAGGGTTTAAGTTTGGGGGTTAGGGTTTACACCCGAGTACAGAGAACAATGGCCTGTAACTCCTAATGATGGGTATGATTGCGTTGTTACGTTGGGTATTCAGAAAGTGCATGCACAGCTTCCGAGAGCCGGAACACTGAACATGAAGCGCAAGTCCCAAGGCCCAAGGCTCACCTGTAATCTCAATTAGCTACAGTTTAGAGAGTGAGGAAATGTAATGGGGTTTAGGGTTTTAGGGTTCAGGCTTGACCTACAGCTTCACGGGTTATACTTACTAATCAGATGTTACGCCAATGAGCGGAGAAGCAAATGGAAAAGAGCATCGACAACGAAATAGATATTTGGCGTATTTAGTGATTTCTATGGAGTTATGCCTTAGGTGGACCCCCCACCCAGTAATAGTGGCTATAAGGGATAATGAGGATTATATTAAGGTCCTCTTATATTCCTACTGTACCACTATTACAGGGTGGGGTGTCCTCCTAAGTTATACCTACTAACTAGGGAGTGCGTACGAGTAACCTGTAGGTATTGTGGGGTACAGGTACACCTTACACCCCAACTTACCCCTCAACCCCCTAAATACAAAGGTAAGAAAGCCCTAAACTCCAAGCCCTGAAGCCCTAAACCCTCAACCCTCAACCCTAAACCCTATATCACCCCATTATAGTAGTTTCCACTTTCTTTTCCATTATCCTAATATAATCTCAATACAAGCCCCTTTACCTACATAGCCCTACATTCCCTTAAAAGGGACCTAGGGTTTCCATTTTCTCTTCCATGATCCCAATATAACCCCAATATCCCCAAACCTTAAAACCTTATAATCCCTATAATCCCTATAACCCCTATAATCCCTGCAACCCTAAACCCCAAACCTTAAAGCCTAAACCCTACAGCCTAAATCCCTACAATCCCAACTATTCAAATCACCTTGTATAACGCTTTTCAACGGAACCCCCTTTTTTTATGACAATTCAGTTCAAGTGCTTCTAGCAGCAACCTGGTACACTCAAAGGCCAGTAGGCCAGGCGCTTAAGCTTTTAGGGTTTAGGGTTTAGGGGCTAAGGTTGCAAGATGTTACAAGTATTGGCCCGTCAGTGCGGGCCTTTAGCCTTTTTAGGCGGGCTTTCAAGGCCCTCAAGGCCTTTGAGGGCCTTAAGGGTTTAGGGTAAACTCCAACCTTAAATCCTAGACCCCACAGCAGGCCCTCCTTCGATTCTACCAGGATCTGGGGCACATCTCCATGCCGCACTTCAGGCCAACTGGGCAGGGACTTCTTCAGGGTCCGTTGGCGCGGGTTGAGGGTTTTGAAATTAGGGTTTAGGGTGCAAGGTTTTGGGGATTAAGGCTTAGAGTTTAGAGTTTTGGGTCTAGGGATTATTCTTTAGGGTTTAAGGATTAGGGTTTAGGGTTTAGGTTGAAGTTTTTGATCTGGGGTTTGAAGGTTCAAAAGATCCAGGTTCCTTAGCATGGGGTAGACGATTTCGTGACGGTTTCTAATTGTTGGAACATCTATTTGGACACGCGGTTTGGTTTTTGGCGTTTAGGGTTGAGGGATTCGTGTTTAGGGTTTGCGGCTGCGTCTACAATTGATTCACCCTCTGACCCACACCCGGAAGCGAAACCTGGTATTATATAACCCTCAACCCCAAACTCCCCGAAAGCATCGAACACCAACCGGAACCACCAACTACCGAACCCCTAAACCCTAAACCCCTAAACCCTAAACCCCTAAACCCTAAACCCCACCCCTAAAACTCTAACCCCAAATGCTAACCCTAAAGCCGATGACCCCCTCACCCTGCATCCCAAGGGTTCCAGGTTTAGAGGGCCTTAGGCTTTAGGGTTACCCTCCGTTAATCGCCCCAAACCCCATGACCCCCTACAAGCTAAACCCAAAACCAATTCCAATTGACACTCCCCCGGCGTGTTTTGAGTCCATATTTGACAAAATCTACTTGCAGAGTGTGGCTTTCTGAATCGGGCGCACGGGGTTCATGACTGCCTCACTCGGCTCTAGAAGAAAAACAGCACAACCGGGTGTACAACTGCTGACCTACCTAGCTATGCCTGGCGCTCAGACTTTCCGCGGTCCAGACTGGAGGCCGTGCAACTGCTCAGGCCGCCGACGCATGCCCTGGTGCTGCTGTGTCAAAGCCTGAACAGTACCCACGCGTAGACAGGCAAACTGCGGAATTGTCTGTCCGAGGCTCTGCCCTCGCCGGCTATGGCATAGGTGGCAGTGCTGATGCCTTTCCTTTCCACGTTTTATCTTGACAGGCACTGCCTACGCTGCCAAAAAGCAGACATCCGCAACAGGCCGCTGTTGAGATAGCTAGAGGTGTTGGGAATAGTTCGGTTGCTGGAAGGCAGCCCAAAGGCACCGGACGAGGTGCCTGAGACGCCTGCTACTCAGTCTTCCACTGCTTATGCTGTTCTTCCGCCGCCAATACGCCGCAGGCCAGGAGACACCGTCCGAGCCTCCCTCTGGCAGCACCGTCTCGGCTGAGACAGGGCGCCGCAAAATTTCTGGTGGAAGTGCAAAGAGCAATCACTTGCAGGCCATACTACAGGCCGCAGTAGCTTCCGGCCAAGCAGGCAGGCAACTGCTATTAGACTCACACTGCCATGATGAGTTTGGAATGCAAGGGACTACAACTCGCCTGCAGCTGTGCTCGAGGCAGAAATTTGTGTACGCAGCTGGTCTTGCGATTTTGCCAGGCAACACAGGGGAGACGGGGGACCACGCGGCTCGAACTGGCGTGAGACATGTAACTATGAGACAGAACTATGCCCGATCCTGAAATACAGATCAACATGAGGCCTCTGGACGATGGTCGTGCTGGGACTCAAGCCCGGTGACCTGGAAAAGGCAAAGACCACGGTGAACGACCTTCGCACTATCTTAGTGACCAGCTTAGCGGCCGTACGCTGCAATTCTGTGAAGCAACTGCCGCTATTGCTCAGGCCGCCTCGTTGGGGGAGCCTCGGGAGGCTCTGAAGCCCTTCGAGATGCTCATGGACTCCTGGCTCCACTATCAGAAGGAGGAGCTCGGGGCCAGGGTTAAATTGTCTACGCTTGTTGGGGGATTCTTAGCGTGCTTTTACTGAAGGCGGGCCAAGCTGAGCCGGAAACCAGGAGGCGAAAGGAACGGCAGCCGTAAAAAAGGAAATGCTCGAGGCCGCTGGGAACGCCTCCGAGAAGCACTAGGGAGACGAAAGCCATTAACCTGATACGTGACTGACTGGGCAGGCAAAGAGGTCGAGAAAAAGGCGTGTGTGAGGTGAGGCAAGTAAGGAACAGCAGTCGGTCTTCCGAATGGAGGATGGAGCAGACAGGGCTGCTCTGCAACCACTGTCAAGCCTTTTAAGCCCTGTACGTTCACCTTAGTTTAGGGTAACCTTAAACCCTGAACCTTCCCTGAGCTCTGAACTCAACTACGAGGCCTGAGGTGCATACTACCCAAGATGTTGTCCGGCAAGCGATCATTCCGCGGACTCAGGCGATTTGTGACCATTACTTAGGGTTTAGGATTAGCGGGCCGATTAGGAGTGCTTACCATTACTTTGGGTTTGGGGGTGGTCATTTTGAGCCTGACATTTGAAGGTTCGAGATTAAGGAAATTTGGGTACCTTAAGCGATGGTGGGTTCACATGGGCTTGACGGTTTAAGGTTGTGGGTTTTTAGGGTTTTGGGGTTTTGCGGTTTAAGGGTTAGGGTTTGGTGCCATTTTCCTAGACGAAAACCTTAAGCCTACCTTTGCAAGGGAATAAGCCAAACTTGGAATGTATCATGGCCATCAAGCCAGTGCAAGCTGTGTATCCCTGTTATATACCTTCTTCCGCAAGACCGTAGATCCCCCGAATTCGTTTGGTTTGGGCTTTAGGGTTTAGGGTGGGGCCTGGGGGAATCAGAGCGAAGCAGTGGACTTGGCAGCCCTCAAGTTGAGTCAGAAGACCTCTGTGAAGGGGTACCCACTTACAGAGATTATCCTGCTTGGGGGTCTACATTGGGGTCCCCCGATTGGGACAACTACCATGATCTTTTTACAGAGACGTTGTTTTTTATGGGCTTTGCTCCGTCGGGCTTCCTCTTAGGCAATGACTACCGTGGCTAAAGCAACCTTTTTAGTCTCTGCACCGCCCCCCTGCATCCTATAGTCTCCCAATGCCCTAATCCCGAATCCCTGGTTTAGGGTTGAGGGTAAACCCTAAACCCGGAACCCATTCCCAACACAGGTCCAGAGCTGTGCATATTCGTGCATCGTAACTGGATGGCTGTTAAGGAACTTTAGTTAAGTTACCATTATGGGTTTTTAGAGTAAATAATTTGGTTTCCCTAGTATAGTACTTTAAATTAAATTCCCGAACAGCCACCCAGGTAAGTGAGCCTCGGATGCCCGACAAAATGGTTACGCACTCATGGCAAAACCTTTTCCACGATTTGGTGGCTGCAGTGATCCTCGGCCTTGCAGGAGGTGCAGATAGATTTGAGGTTTAGGATTTAGGATTTAGGCTTTAAGCTTTAGGAGTTAGGGTTTAAGATTTAGGGTTTAGGGTTTAGGAATTTAGGGTCTATTTATAAGGTTTCCTGAAAGTCCCTTCGATTGGGGTTAGAGATCTCCTAAACGTGGATACTTTGGCCAAAATAGACTGGGTTGCGGTTCAGGAACTTAGATTAACATACTATAATGAGGAAACCTTACTATTTACTATCTGCTCATATTATGGTAATTTACCTGAAGTTCCTTAACAGTTACGCAGTAGAGGGTAGTTTGAGGGTATACGTAGGAATGAGCATGTTCAGAGGTGTTGCGAAACCTGCTTTGGCGGGTATAGCTCGCATGTTTGTAGTCCAGCTGAGGATAGCTGATGCTGTTGGTGAGAACAGCTTCGAAATGGTGGCGAATCTGCTGGAGCATGACATATCCATTCTACACAGGTTGATGAAGCTTGGATCCCAATCCTCTTTCTATTTGTGAAAAGCAGAAAAGTCTTAGAAGTCCAGCCAGGGACAATGGAAAAGAACATGGAAACTACTATGTGGCATATTGGGGTTATGTAGGGAAACTGGAAAATAAGATGGAAACTACTATGCCCGTCCAGGAAGCAGCGGCGTACTGCGGACCGGGTGTATTGGATTTGTGCCTTCGCCGTGAACCAGCATTCTGCTATCTGCGAGAACCGCAATGGTGACTGCGATAGCTTGACGGGGCAGGCGCCTACCAGCCCTCAAAAATTTGTGGTTGTCTACGGCGTGCTAAACAATTCCCTACGCCTAGACCCTCCAACTACCCTCTATTGGGGCCTTAGTACCCACTGTTGGGGGCCCTAAACCCCAAACCCCTAAACCCAAAACGCTAAACCCTAAACCCCTAGTAGGTAAAACGAAGGCTCAAAACCCCTAAGCCTAAAAACAGCCATGGAAGATTTAGGGGTCATACTCGGGGTCTGGGTATGCGTCTTCAAGCCCCTGATGCCCCTAAACTCTAAAACCTAACCGCGGCTTCTTTTTTGGAGGTCCATCCGCGCTGCTACTGTAGTCATCCCAAGATCTTCAGCAACACACCACCTCTGATGCAGGCCCAGTGGCCGGGAATTTCCTTGATCTAGGGTTTAGGGTTGAGGGTTTAGGGTCTACCGTTTAGGGATTAGGGTTTAGGGTCAACGGCGATATGGCTTAGGGTTTAATGCTTGAAGTTCCAAAGCCTTTGGTGCCAACTAGTTGCTTCAGCACACATGCCCAAGCCTGCCAAACTTCAAGTTCCAAGCCCTACATCTTGATAAAGACTGCACGTCCTAAAACCCGGAACAGTAAATCCTAAACCCTAAACCCTTAACCCTAAACCCTATAATAGTTTCCATTTTCTTTTCCACGATCCCTATATCACCCAATATAACCTCTATATACACCCTATATATATATATCCCTATATAACCTTTATATACTTACCCCAGTATACTTTGTGAATCCTAACCCCCAACTCTGAAGCCCGACGGAGCTCCACAGAAGTACAACCAGGTGACTGGGTTAACTTAAATTAAGTTACCATAATGGGTATATATAGTAAATAGTAAATAATAGGGTTTCCCCAATATAGTAACTTAATTTTAATTCCTTAACAGCAACCCAGGTGACCAATCAAAGCATTTACTGTGAGATGAGTCTCGGATCCTCATGGCACGGGCTGTGGAAGGGCCTTTCAGGGGCTTAGGGATTTAGGGTTTAGGGATTTTGGGATTCAGGCATTTAGGGAATTAGTGTTTAGGGATTTAGGGTTTAGGGTTCAGGGTTGGAGTTTAGGATTTAGGGTTTAAGAATTTAGGGGTTTAGGGTTCAGGGTTCCAGGTACCCCAGCAATATTCTTTTTCCCCTTTGCATTTTGAGGTTTCCTTCTCAAAGCTGAACATTAGGAAAGGGTATCCTGAGTACTTAGGGGTTACTGGGGAACCTAGCATTGCTTGGGCTTTTGCTGATCGCTTGTGCACTCGTCTTGCTGCTACGTGCGCTCGCTTGATGGGATGAGGGATGGGGGATAAACCCAAAACCCTAAATCCCTAAACCCTAAATCCTTAAACCCTAAAACCCTAAATCCCTAAACCCTAAATCCCTAAACCCCATCCAGGGGGCCCCAGATCTGTTGTGGGTGATGGTTGAACTTTTCACGCTTCGGGAGCCGGGATGCTTGGTAAAGCTATCCGGCTTTGGTTTATATTAATCAGAACCACAACTCACTAGCCGGTTTAGGGTTTAGGGCGTTTAGGGTTTGGGGTTTAGGGTTTAGGGTTTGAGGTTTAGGGTTTAGGGTGTTTAGGGTTTAGGGTGTTTAGGGTTTAGGGTTTAGGGACCCTTTAACCTCTTGGAGGTCATATGAACTATAGTCTAAACTCCTTAAAGGGGGTTGTACAGGGGAGTATATAGGGGTTTATTGTAGGGCTTATTAAGGGGGATAAGAGGAGTTTAGACTGTAGCTCATACAATGCCGGAAAATTGAAGGATAACCCCAAACCCTACACCCTATATAACGTGGGCAAAAATTCAAGGATAGCCTTTTTATTGGGGTTAGGGGGGATTTCCGGCTAGGACGGCAACAGTGTAGGTCGGGTGATTCCCCCTCACAGTCACTGGTTTAGGGTTCAGGGTTTAGGGCTTAGGGTTCAGGATCTCCTACGCCAGGGAAACTGGTACGACTGATGGGGCAAAGTTCTCAGGTGTAGGTCTGCCTAGCTGCGCAATGGTCCGGCCTCCCTGAACCCTAAACCCTTTAACCCTAAACCGTAAACCCTAAACCCTTAACCCTAAACCCTTAACCCTAAACCCTCAACCCTAAAACCACAAACCCTAAACCCTTAACCCTAAGCCCTTAACCCTAAAACCTTAACCCTAAACCCTTATACCTGAACCCTTAACCCCGAACCCTAAAGCCTAAGCCCTAAATCCGGCCTAGGAACAAATTTCCCGACATGATGGCCATGGTAGCAGCTGCCAGGTTGCAAGCGCTTTTTCGGGATATGTTTAGCAGGGCTCTATATAGGGGTTATGTATAGGGGATTCCATGAAGATTAGGGTTTGGGGTCTAAACTCCTTAAAGGGGGTTGGAGGCAAGGGGGGTACTAGGCATTTAGACTATAGCTCATATAGGGTTTGTATGAGCTGCAGTCAGTATAAGCCTGTTTTGGGTTTAGGGATTATGGTTTAGGGTTTAGGATTTGTGAGGACTTCATCATGTGGAGACCCTACGGATCTACTGCGAACCCCTAAGTCTGAAACCCCAACTGCCAACCCCCAAGCCCTAAATCCTAAGCCCCGAACCCTTAAACCCTAAAGCCTAAACCCCAAAACCTAAAACCGAAAATCCTAGACCCCCAAACCCCTAAGGCTTAAATCCCAGAACGTTAAGCCTGTACTCTTGCGAAGTGGAGTCAGCTGATGGGTCGCAGGGCTCGGGGAAAAACGGTTTAGGGTTTGGGTTAAGGGTTTAGGGTTCAGAGGAAGAGGGAGAGAGAGAGAGAGATTCGGGCCCAGGCGTACTGAAAACCACACGTACGGCTTGGGCAGTTGAGTTCAGAGGCTAGTGTTTAGGGTAAGAGCCGTTAATACTTTTTCATATCATCTCTTTTTTCCGCCCTACATAGCTTGTGTAGAATATGCCCCCAGAACCTGCTTCCAATGCTTTAGGCTTTGACTATTCTCCCGCAAACCCTTATATAAGAGCTTTTTCCCGTTCATCTTCCGTTTCTTACAATCTGATTCGTTTTCCCCAAACCCCAGACCGTAAACCGCTTCTCTGCGCAGCCCAGGCAAACAACCCGCGATTCTCGCAGGTTGTTGCCGTGGACTCGAGGCGCCTCTGTCTTAAATCCTAAGCCCCAAACCCTAAACCCCTAAATACCCTTTGTCCAAGGTCATCACCAGGGGCGCCTGGACCCCAAACCCTGCACCCTAAGTCCCTACCTGGACCCCAAAAGTATGTGAAAAAGAATGGCCTTAAACCCTTACAAACAGCCCAAAAGGCCATTATTCTACTTTTTTTTGGGGTTCAGGTAGACCTTCAGCCATCAACTTTCTTCCCTTCTAAGCATCCTTACTCTCAGGTCTGTCCTATTTAGGGGCCCCTGGGCATCTACCCTGTTTTTTCCGCATGATTTAGGGGTGACGGTTTTGGGGTTTTGGGGATTTGAAAGCACCAGTGTATAGCAGAAATCTTTAACGTGCCCCGAAATGGAGCCCAGCTGTTCAGCATTGCCAGGTTTGTTCTCTTCCGCAGGGCATGGTGTGTCGCTGAACTCGTGGAGGCAGATGAGGCCGGCATCAGGCAGCACGTGCAGGTGCATTCCAGGAAAGTCCTGGAGGAAAACGAGGAAAGTCTCCGAAATCTCAAGGTGGGAATCCCTTCCGGGTTTAGGGGTTTGAGGGTTTAGGGTTTAGGGTTTGAGGGTTTGGGGTTTAGAGATTAGGGTTTAGGTTTTGAGGTTTTAGGGTTTAGAGATCAGGGAGTCCCTATATAGTAGGGATTCGAGTATGTTGGGTTCTATATATTGGGACACCCCCCCAGCGTAGATGAAAACCTGCAGGTGGAGGACATGGCGGCTTCGAATCCAGAAGATGTAGACTTTATCCTGAACCGAATCAGCAACAAGAGTGCATCTAGGCAGCACTCTGGGGGATAATCACTAACTTTCCTTTTTGTTGTTCATAAGGAACTTTTTCATATACGATTTCGCGGGCTTCAACAATTTACCATACAGGTATTCAACAAGAAGCTCCAGCAGCTGATTTTTGATGAGCATGGGCTTTTGAGCAACTGGCACCAGTTGGACACCCTTCATCAGATGCAGGAGATCGGAGACAGGGTTGCAGAGGTCGGTCCCTTTCCCTTTTCGAAGTCCCGGTCCCTTAGTAAAAAACGGTTGGACCCAACAAAAAGAGCGCCCTTTTTTGGTTCCTAGCGTAGTAAAATCCCAGGAAATCTCCTGAAGTGGATCATGGCTGATGGCGGACTCGGCGTTGTGTGGCAGTATTGGGTGAACAGGGGATAGGTTCCTTCTGCCCCCTGAAGGCTGGACAGAAAGGGGGTCTCACAAAACCCTAAACCCTAAACCCTAAACCCTAGGTTTTGAGAAAGACGGAGCACACGGGTAGAAACGCACCCTCCCTAAACCCTAAACCCCAAACCTTAAACCCCACACCCTGAACCTTAAACCCTGGGCTGTTTTAGGGTTTAGGGTTTAGGGTTTAGGGTTCCTTTCATGCAATCCATTCCCTCAACTCGAAGCCCTATGCTTATGAAAGACCTCAAGAAGCGAGCGTTTGGAAACCTCATGGTGAACCCTCAGACAGTGGCTAGGAACTGTGAGGGACAAGGTTTAAGCTTTTAGGGTTCAGGGGTTTAGGGGCTTTGAGGTGTTTAGGGTTTAGGGCTCAGGTTTTGGGGGTTTCCTCAACTAGCAAGCGTATGGGTCCTCCTCAGCGCTTGTACGTGGAACATGGGCCCAAGGATGGTTTCCCACCTTACACCCTAACACCTAAAGCCCAGACAGTAGCCCCTAAACCCAAAACCCTAAACCCTAAACCCTAAACCCATAGGATTGCTGCAAGGTACCCGCAGGCAGATTTCGTGTGAATGTAGTTCAGCATAGGCTTCAGGGTTTAGGACGCGGGGTGTTGGTTCCAACTTAGGAATCTTCGGTTTAGGGTTTAGGGTTTTAGGGTTTAATGTTTAGGGTTTAACGGGTGAATCTTGGTCGGTGAGTATATAGATATACTGGGTGCGCAAGGGGGGAGACCATCAAGACGACCGTGGAACGCATAGGAAAAGGTTGTCTCCATAAATCAGTTGACTCAAATTTGAACGCAATATGGGGTTTCCTAAAATTAGGGTACCTTTTTGGGGGTCCCCATAGTAAGGATTATAGTATTTTGGGCTCTCTCTTGGGGTTCCCCTATTTCGGGACATTACCATATATTGCAAGCCGTATCATGGGGAATTCCAGAAAGGTCCCTAAACCCTAAACTCCTAAAACCCAAACTCCTAAACCCTAAACCCTAAACGCTTAAATCCCAAATCCCTAAACCCTAAACCCCTATACCCTCAATCCCTAAACCCCTATACCCTCAATCCCTAGACCCTAAACCCTAATTCTAGGAACCCCCAAACAGTTGATCATTTCGCAAGAAATGCCCCTAAGGAAGGTCCGACAAGTCGGCCTCCTTGTTGCTGAGGTCCCTACAGTAGCCTTCATGGGGGTCAGGGTTTAGGGTTTAGGGTTTAGGGTTTAGGGTTTAGGGTTTAGGGTTTAGGGGAAGCTTGCAAGTTGGTGGCCACCCCCCCTCAAAGTTTCGCCCTCCTTTGGACTGTAGAAACTTTTGCCCTAAAAGCTTAAAGCCTTTGACTGTAGAGGTCAGGAAGAGGAGGGCGGTAGGATGAGGCGGAGGCCAGGTTTTTCTTCATCATCTGGTCTGCATTATGTAGGGCTTAGGATTTAGGGTTTAGGGTTAGATGCTTGCTGTAGCTTAAAATGTTTTCGTATGTAGAGTAGGTTTTTTAGATGCAGACCAGACGAAGAAGACCTGTTCGAAGGCCACATGTTTAGTAAAACGTCGGAGCCTACCTAGACCCTCCTCCTACCCTCTATTAGGGCCTAAGTACCCATTATTAGGGACCATATATCCCCATTTAAGGGTACTAGGAGGGTCTTGGTAGCCCCAAAACTGAGCAAGTTTGGGTCCTGGCGCTCGCACGGAGGTCTGAACATCTCAAGCAGCCTGGAGTTCATGCGCTTCTCTATACTGGGTTGCTGCTAAGGAACTTAAATTAAGTTACCATAGTGGGTATATATAGTAAATGATAGGGTTTCCCCAATATGGTAACTTAAATTAAGTTCCTTAACAGCAACCCAGTATTTTCAGGCCCTTGTATCTGTTTTTGAATGCTGCGCGCCCCACTTTGCCCTGTCAAAGACGGGGATGAATTCACATGCACACCCCGTACAGAAGCATGCATTTTCGACATCATGTGGCAGTTTCTCAAAATCACGACGGCTGCCTTTTCATGAAAATGAAAAGCATCCCACACTGTTGTTGCGGGGTATCAACCAGGACCCTCCAACTACTCCTTAATATGGCCTTAACTTTCCACCATAAGGGAACCTGCAGCGGCGCCTATTTAGGTGTACCTGGCGGGTCTAAGAAGCCAGACGCTGATTTTGATGAACTCTGCGTCAAAGTCGAGTCCCCTGGCCGCCTTTTTCACCCTCGTGTCGCCAGCAACGGTTTCGCATGGAGTGCGACGGACTTAGGCAGTTTCCAAAAACCAGTACCTGAACACCAAAAATATGTAGAATAATAGCCTTTGGGGCTGTTTGTAGGGGTTTAGGGCTATTATTTTGCCTACTTTTGGGGGATCCCCTCCAACCACATGTGCACCGAAATATGGAAGGTTCCACGGATGACCACCAGAAGGGATACCTTGTGCATTCCCCTTAAGTAGATAGAATATGGCTTTGGGCATTCTATAATAAGGTCCCCATATATCCCATATTCGATTTTTGGAGACTTCTGCTTATGCGCCGTGACGCCTAACGCTTGCAAGCACACCATTGTCCAGTGTCCAGGTGCTGCATAGGCAGGTTCCCAGGTTCCAACTTCGGAGTTGCGCCTTTGCGATTTTAGACTTTCCCTAAGCCCTACCTGTATTCCCGGTGACCTTAGTTCCCCTTAAGTAGATAGAATATGGCTTTGGGTATATTAGAATAAGATGCCCATATACTCCATATTGAAACCTACTTAAAGGAAATATAAACCCTAAACCCTAAACTAGTAGTTTCCATTTTCTTTTCCAATATCCCAATATGGTACTTTTCCAAAATAAGTGGACCCCAAAACAGATCCTAATATTCTATAGTCTATAGAGTTTAGTGGTAATTTTGCACTTAATTAGTAGTCATAGCCGGTAAAGCCGTAGAGCTGGTGGTCATTTGGGTTGCAGGTAAACCCTAAACCCTATAAGCCCTAAATCCTAAACCTTAAATCCTAAACCCTAAACTCCTAAATCCCTAAAACCTGAACCCTAAAGCCTAAACCCGAAATCCTAAACCCGACATCCTAAATCCTACACCCTAAATCCTAAACCCTAAATCCTAAACCCTAAACCCTAAACCTAGCTGAGCGGTAGTGGGAACTTGGGAACCTAATGAGGTAGGAATGGCGGAGTATTGCAGGGGTTTGTATGGAAGCCAAAGGCTTTTAAAGTGGCAGCGAGAAAATTGCCTGGCATCTGGAAGGACCGGGTCTAGGGTTTAGGGGTTTAGGGTTTAGGTTTTAGGGGTTTAGGGTTTAGGGTAGACTTCACCGACAATCTCAAGGGTTTAGGGTTTAAGGTGTGTATACCCTAACATAACTGGGAGTTTCCCAACAAGGCTTCCCCCTTAAACCCGAATATGAGAATGCTTATCATCGTTACCCCCCGCCCAAAACAAGGAACCGCAAGTTATTGCAATACAGCTCCCATGACGTCCCTAGTGCATCCCGTAGGACAGTTAACGGGACATACGCTACGTTACTGTAGGTAGGGAACCCTAAGCCCTAGACGCCGCAAACCCCGGGTCTCTTATCACTCCACTTGTATAAAGACTGGTGCTTCGAATGCCCACGACGACCTTTCCCGTCAAGGTTCAGGGGGTTCAAAAGGTAGGATCAATGCAGGTGGGTTAACTTAAAGGGTCCTTACTATATACTCTTCTATATTGGGGCTTATTTCCTATATCCCACCTTCCTTCATCCCACCTTCTGAGCCCTTTGAAAGGTAGAGTGCCTGCATGCACAGGTGACACGGCAAAGGAGATGCTGGAGGCTGTCTTGGGCGAATGCCGCAAAGCTACCGAGACGTTCCTGAATGGGGCGGTGCACGCGTACCAGGAGCCTTTCTGTTGTTCCTTATGTTAACGGCAGGATGTTATGGCAGATCTCGAGTTATAGCGGTGCAACTCTTGCAGGAACAATGCCGCGGTGATCCCCTGCCGCGCGTGCCGGTGCAGAACTTCAAGTTCAGCATTGCAGCCGAGGTCTTGCTTTAGCTGACCTGTTTTGGCTTTGCGAATGGCGAGTGTGACTGCTCCGTGGCAAAGGGCAAGGAGTCCACTCATGGAGCTGCTCCAGCAGAAGGGTTGCTGCCTCAGACCTGGGTGCCTGCTCTGTTCTTCAGGGTTGCCTGGGTGGTCTTGCGATAAAGTTTGGTACCGTTCAGCCGTGACTGAGGCGTAGACCCCGTGCCGCACAATCTGTGCAATGGCACGCGCTCTGCGTTGGAAGCCTGCGTGGACAAACTCCGCTTCACGCAGAGCGAGTGGCAGAGCAAGCCGGAACTTCGGTGGCCATGCCCTCAGGTTTTTGGGAGGGCAGATCTTGCTTTGGCCGTTAGTGATATTGACGCCTCTGCCTTTGCAACACCGCCAGGGGTGCCATGTCTGGCACATCCTTCGCATTGTGCGCTGAAGACTTCCCGAAGCTCGCCGCGGACGCTTGTGTGATTGTCCGGGCGGACGGCTCCTTCGTTGAGGGCAAGGTTGCTGTGTCTTGGCCTTGCCATAGACTTTGCGTGTTCGGTCTACTTGCCTGGTGGCTTCGTTCTTGTTTGTGGATGTGCTGTAATCCAACTTGAACATAATTCCTGAGGAAATAGAAGAAACCAACCTACCTAAATCTCAAAAACCTTACCAGCTTAAATCCAAACTTTACATGGTACTTTCTAGTAGGGAACCCCAATATAGACCCCAAAATACGATAATCCTTAATAATCCTTATTACGGGGATCCCCAAACAGTACCCCTAATTTTGGGCGGATGCCTATAATCATCTCTGTACTGCCCCACACAAAGGCACCTCTATTCCTTCCCCCGGCTAGCATAGTGATACGTCCAAGAACCTAAACGCCAAACCCCAAACCCTCAAGCCTGACCCAAAACCCAAAACTTTCAAAAACCCTAAACCCCAAACCATGACCTTCCAAGGAGGTGGCGCCAAGGCGAACTGAAACGCTGAC